TTTGTCCATTGTGGGTGGTAGATACAAAAATATTGGGTGGGCATAAGGATGCGAAAAGGGGTATCCACACCCTCCTCACTCGTTTTCCATCTCTATATGTTACCATTCAAGTTAAAATATACAAAAAATCATGTAGATTATGTAGAGAAATAAAATTTGAGGGGAAGAATTAATGAGAAGTTGAGAGAATAAATCAAACCTGTCGTAGAAGGACAAAAATGAAAAGATAAAAACCTTGAAACATTATACACATTTTTGTAAATAAGCTAAATTGTATATTATAATTTAAAAATTTTAGATTGAGTCAGGTCAGATATTTTTTACCCTAAATTCAACCTCGAACCGAACCCAAAAATATTGCACACTAAATCCTATCCGACCTGATTTGAACACAAAATTTTAAAGAAAAAATTTGTTTCAGTCGGTCGAGCTCCGTCAGAGTCGAATTAAGTTGCCATACCTATCCATTTAAATTAAAAGAGATATAATGTTTATAGTCAACATAACACACATGATTACCATCAACAAAAACTTAATTAATGGCCGAATTGGAATTTTTTTTAATGTTTTTTTAAATTAGATTAATTTAAGTTTAATATAGATATTTTTTTATTTGGGTTAAATTTAGTTAGATCTTAATAATTTAATGGGTCAAATGTGGTTAAAAATAGTTTTTTTCTTAATTCTTAATGGGTTTGAGTTTAAAAATATGTATTTAATATATATAATATATTAAATATATTAATTTTTGTTTATTTTGATTAATTAATTGATTTCGATCTGAATTAACCATTAACTGAATATTAAAAAACATTAATCATTTCTCGATCGAACAAATTCGATTATCGACCAAATTAATCAAACTAATTTAATTCAATCAATTAATTCGATTAATTTCAAGAAGTAAACACTCGGGTTTATGTCATTAGTATCTTTTGTTTTATAGAAGGAATTAACATTAGGATGATTCTTTTGTGCATGACAAGCAGCGACGAGTATCACTAACGACGAACACCATTAATTTAATTTATTAAAAAATTCAAAGGACTCAACGTATAATTATAAAATAGTTAAAAATTTAAGATAAATTATTTAAAATAAAGGGTAAACTATACTAGTGACCACCTAACTATTGGCCTTTTTCATTTTGACCAATATTTTTGATTTTTTTTTTCAATCTGGTCACTCAACTATTTAAATGCATTCAATTAAGTCGTCCGTCGTTAATATTTAACGGATAACTGATGTGACATTTAAAATATTTTGTATAATTACACATTTAGTCACTGTTACTTACATATTCTATCAATTTGGTCCTAATTTTAATAAATTAAAATATTTGATATAATTACACATTTGGTCACTATTATTTATAACAAAACAAAATATTTACTAAAAATTCCATTTATGGTTATCAAAAGCATCCCGTCAATGGATTAATTTAATTACCAATAATTATTGTTCAACAGAAGCACAATTGTTTCATAAATCTACATGCATGTCACGAATTTTCAACAACAAAATTGTTACAGTTAGGAGTACAATTACCGAGCCAAACTTATTAAAGGAGTTGAAACACAAACCAAGTTTCAAAATCAAAGAAGCACAATTGTTGCATAAATCTACATGCATGTCAGCATTTCAACAGGGAAATTGTTACAATTAGGAGTGCAATTACCGAGCAAACTTATTAAAGGAGTTGAAACTCAAACCAGATTGAAAATCAAACTCAAAATTGAACCGATCACTATCCAAACTCGATTACAGATCGTCTAAGTAGAACATAATACAAACTCTAATTACAACCCATCTTACAATAACATAATATAATCATATGAACATGGATTAATTTAATTGCACACAAAACTTATCAAATACAAATATTTCAACAAATATATGAAGTGTCTAAGGAACATAGATTTTGTTTTATTATAAATATAGAATATGCCGTAACTTTTAAAATCTTTTAAAATTAAAAAGTAGAGGGTTAAATTTATTTTTTTATTAAAATTAAGACCAAATTGATAAAATATATAAGTAACAATGACCAAATGTGTAATTATACCAAATATTTTAACTGCTACATCAACTTCTCCATTAAATATTAACGACAAGTGGCTTAATTGAATGCATCTAAATAGTTTAGTGACCTAATTGAAAAAAAATCAAATATATTGATAAAAATAAAAAAAATCAAATATATTTTATCATTTATTTTAAATAATTTATCATTAAAATTTTAATTATTTTATAATTATACGTTGAATCTTTTAAAATTTAAATTTTTATAAATTAAATCAATAATACTAATGATCACCGCTACTAGGGGTGTAAACTAGCCAAGTCGAGCTCGACTCGAACTCGAAAACTTTAAATGTAAGCTCGACTCGACTCGAAAACTCACGAGCCTACAATTTTCAGGCTCGAATTGAACTCGAAGGAAAATATTGAAACTTGACTCGAACTCGAAAAGGCTCAAATTCAGAAAAAAATTCAGAAGCTCAATTGAAGCTCGAGACTCAAGCTCGATTGAAGCTCAAACTCGCCCACTAAGTATGTTGAAAGGAGGTAGCTGCCGTTTATTTATAATACCAAATAAGTGGTCCACTCATGTACTTCCCCAATGTGGGATATTGCTTCAGCACAATTCTACCGAGCTCTCTAACCTGATTCAATGTTGTGAGCCCTCCTCTTCTGAATTAGTTCTATTTCGTTTTATAATTGTTCGTGAAGTTTTTTTCTGTTGGGTTTTATTCACTTACATTTTTGGAAGATTTATGATAAATTTTGGTTAAATTTGGAATGATTTGCTATATAGTATACAGTAATTGTGGAGACAGATGAACAAAGCAGTAGGGTTTGCATTGGAATGCAGATTCTCTGGAATTAGAGTTCTTAGGTTTCCCGACGAAATTGTAGCCTTAGAAAGAAGGAGATAACCTTTCTACATTATAGTATCTTCATTTTTGATGCCATTGCTGTACACTTTATTTTCGATTTGAAAATGGTTAGTAAGAACTGCAGTATGTTCTTATGAATGTAGATTCAGTGGAAGGCTAAATTTAGCTGTATAAATTGTAAATGCATGTTATTGAAATGTTCAAAAATTGATGTTATCTTCATTCTTTTTAACTACAAATATCGACAAAGAACATCATCGATTTGCTCCATTTGTTACCTATGAACAATCCCAGAAGGAAGTTTTAAAGGTTAACAGTTTCGAAATTCGTTTTAAATTATCTTAGATGCAGTCATTGCCTGATTCCGTTGAAGTTGCAGAAATTTAGTACAGTTATCATTTGCAATATGCTTTTTCAATTCAATTTTGAAACGGAGCATACCCCTTTTCGACCAATCATGTCTGCATCCTAGTAGATTGATGATCCAATCATGTCATTAAATATTTTCAATTGAAAAATGCAAAAGCTAATTATTTTATTCACCAGTACTGTTAGTTTGATTGATGATCCAATGACCAAAATCTTGGATCATTACTAATGGCTGGGTCTCTTTTTTCCACAGGCGTAGCTGCATAATTAACTTCATGTCTTACCAATCATGTCACCAAACATTGAAAACTGGAAAAAGAAATCAGATAACAAGTTAGTCACGTCGATAACAAGTTTAATTTTATTAATTTAATTATAATTCTAAAGTTAGTATATTTAACTTAAATTTATCATCACATTTAGGTTTATTTTAATTTAGTCTCTATTTAGAATTGTTTTCTTTATTTAGTTGTGTATATTTATTTTGCATATTGATATGTTTATGTATAAGTATGCGAATGATTTATTTAGGAGTCACATAACATCATTTTGCATAATTTGTATGTTACCTTCATGTGCATAACTTAACCCCTATTACATAATCAGATTAAGAGTTTAGGGTTTATGGGTTAGGGTTTAGATTTAAGATTTAGGGTTTAGGATTTATTACAAAGACATTAATTAATCGACTTGGTACCGATTTATGAGATAAGTACAATATAGTATCTTGATATTAAATGCTAAAACCCTTGATAATTATGATATTTGAACTCGAAACCTCAAAATATAACAATAATTTAAAAAATTAATTATTAAAAATATTATCATTAGAAATATATTAAATATTTGTCCGATAAATACTTTTTTATTAATTTAAAATAAATATAAGAATATTTATTCAAAAATAATTTTTAACTATTTTCAATTTTTCTATTGTTTAGCTATTTTTTTCTTATTTTTTATTTTATTTTTCGACGTTGTCAAGTACTTGTTCAGTAAAAAATTAAAAAAAAAAGAAAAAAATCAACCAAACACGTGCAATTTAACATGTGCTTAATTATATGTGCTTTTATTTTTCTTTTAGTAATATACAATGTAACAATTAAACTTAGATTGGTTAATTAAAAAAATTAAAATTTAAGAGTAGTTGTATTATGGAATTTTTAATATATATTTAAAATTTTATAATTATTAATAGTATATTTTTAATAATATAATTTTAAAAAATCTAAAATTATAATATAACATTTTTTTTCGAGTTGCTCACGAGCTTTTTGAATCGAATATCGTGTAACTCGTTTCGGCTCGTTAAGAACTCAAGTCGAACTCGAATCCATTCGATCTAAATATTTATCAAACCTTGATCAAATCGATCTCGAATAACTCGAGATCTGTCTCGTCTTATTCGTCTTATTTACTACCCTAACCGCTACTCATCAAACACAATAGAATTTTCCCATTATAAAACATAAATATTTCTGTCTTTTACATCTTAAAAAAAATTAAAAGTCATAGCTCACAACAACTGACAAATCCCCGTACGTGGTCTTCTATCAATGGGCAGACGGGCAGCTCCAATAAGTCCACAAGCGCGTTTCTCACTCCCTGCCCTTGCCCGCTTAGCTGTATCTCATTCATTTCCCACTTCCCTTCAACAAAAGTAAGACTAGCAATTCTGAAAGAAAATAAATGAAGAAACCCTTTTCGACGTGTCTTGTATGTAATTGGATCTGTCAGTCAATCGTATGTGCAAGATTTCTTGAGGGAAATGGGGACATTGAGTTTCTTGGGATCGAAAGTTATGACACATTCGATCTTCTTGTGGAACTTTGGCTTCACCAATTTGCCCAGCACATAAGCTCTTGTTCGAACAACGAAGTTGAGTTTAAATGAAATCGGAACCGATGTTGTCCCCGTCGAACTGCTCAAACTCGCTCCACCTCCGTACATAGGAACCTTGTTTCCCATCACTGTTACAGTTACAGGCCTTTGGCTCTTCCTGGATTGATGAAAATTCTTCATCTGAAACACCGAAATGGAACGAAATCATGAGGTTTTGATCCAATGTTAAAGTAGATTTCTTTCGGTGTTTTTCAGGTGGAGGGGACTTACGGTTCCTGAAGCAACGGTGAGCAGAGAATATGATAGATCTAGGGGAGTCGCTGTTACATGGACGCCAAAAAATGTTCCAGTGTTGCGATAAATGAACTTCACTGTTGAATTCATGGTGATCATTTCGGTTGCCACACCTGTGAAATCTGAACCAGCTTGGATCTTGAATTCCTCAATTTTTATACTCTGCAACAACAAAAAAGGATTAAAACCCATATAGGAATACAATCCAACAAGATGAGAAGTATACTGAGATTACAAATTACCTTCATTATGATCTTGGGTTTTTGTGGCCTGCTAGCCCCCCAGAGAATCAAAGAAAACATGGAGAAGAGAATAAAGAAGCCAAGAACAAAAGCTAGAATATAGCATCTTCTGGGGAGACTTTTATCGCGCTCTCCATCTGCAAGCAGTCCTTCTTCTTCAATCATATCGTATTCTTTCCACTGCTTTTGTCCCTTTCGATGTGCTCCCCTAGACGAGCCGTCGTTCTGCAAGACCTTGCCGGATCCGGGCTTAAGCGACCCCGAAAACCGACTCGACGAGGACTCACGTGAGTGGCGCCCCACGGAGGAATGGGAGTGCGGCGGTGACCCCGCGGGGCTCAGGATCGGCGTCGAACGGAAAGACGTTGCGGTCTTTTCTCCGTCATGGGAATCGCGCGATGGGCTCTGCACGTAATAAACCGGACGCCGCGGAGACCTGGTTGGCGATGATGTGTCGAGGCTAGTCACCTCTGAGTCTGTCTTGGCGTGCATCTTCGGCGGAGGTTCTCTCACCCAAAACTGACCAGGAATCTGTCTTTTGTGTTGGTTTATGAAGTAGATGTTCGTACAATTTCAGGGTATGTTTTTATTTTTGTGGATTTGGGTGAGAGCTTGATAGAGATGGTTGATTGTGGACTAAGTATAGGACGACCAAAGTGGGAGATGAAGACAAAAGAGATACGTGTATTGATTTTAGAAAAGTGAAAAAGCAGCGAGGGACTCGTTACTTGACAGCCATGTTACGGTTGGCAGCTTTGGTTTTGAATGGCACCACCTTACAATTATTGTCCGCCGCCCGCCAATGAGAGGGAAATGATTTTTGGGCTTATGGATTTTGTGTTTGGACATCCATGGACCATGTTTCAGTGATGACTAATGGTAAAATAGGGGCAACTAAAAATAAATTAAAATTACGGGTCTAATTTGATATTTTTCCAATACAACGTTGGTGCTGGTACACTCAATCGAAGTTTCATTGGAACGGTGACTAGGAAATGGTCTGACTTTTGAAGGCAAATCAACATTTCCAGAGTGTCCTATTAAGAAATGCATCTTTCAACCATGGTACAGGTGACTCAACAAGCTAGGATCAGTAAACAAGAATGAAACCATTGGAAATCTAGTAGTCTTCCTCTTTCTACTAGAAATTGGGTTGGAGATCTAGAATGGACGTAAGATTTTATGTTGAGATGAACTTAAATTTTTAAAATTTTAAGGGGACAAATTTAAACTTATAAAATTTTAAGAGGAGAAATCAGGTTTTCAATAAAAAATCTATAAGTTAATTTTAAATGTTTAGAGGAGATATTCCCTCCATGCCGTCCCCTGGTCCATCCCTGTTGGAGAGTATGTTAAAGTTGAACATAAACCAAAAGTAAGTTTAGGTACAAAACCTGCACCAGAATTGACTTATTTCTCTTCAAGAGGACCAAATACTATAAACCCTGGCACTTTGAACCAGATGCCATTGCTCCCGGTGTCGACAATATTGCTGCAGTTTCACCATTTTCGAAAATAAGAATTGGCGACTATGCTTTGGCGGCAGATTATACATTCACTTCGGGCACATCGATGGCAACCCCACATTTTCGAAAAAGCAGTGTATCCTAACTCGATGATAGAATCCGGTGACTAGAGGATGAGCGGAGAAGAAAATGAACAATAAAAAAGGAACTGTACTGAAAAAGGGAAAAGAGATATAACAGAGAAACGAAAGGAAAAATAGAACTTCAATTCAGAAAACGTATAAGTTCAACCCAACGTACAACAATGCAACAAATGACTATTTAAAGCCCAAAATACTGAAGCCCCATATGGCTAACAAAAATAGTAACGGCCTAACAGCCTGCTTAACAGATTAATCGACCAAGAGTCGTGTCATTTATATACTCGGATATTTTCCCGGTTTGATTTTTCCTCTGAAAGTCAGAAGTAGACACAACACCAAGCTGAGAACGCAACCGATTGAAGTAAGCCAGATGAATAAGTTTGGTCAGAATATCAACCACCTGTTCATTCGAGAGCAAAAAATTTAACAAGAAACCGACCAACAATGACTCTCTCTCGAACAAAATTAACATCAATCTCCACATGCTTGATGCGCGTGTCGGAACAGTCTTTCGGTTGGACCTGAAATTGGGCTTCGACTTGAATTGATTGGGTTAGAGTCGCCACCGATCATTTATTTTATTAAATAGATAGATCGGATACCTTATTTCTTACTTGATCTGCATCTTACCAAAGATGTGTCGGATTCGGGAGTCGGTTACAGTCAAGGAAGGATTAGCACCCTTGAACCGCCCTTTCGGTACCAATTAATTTATCGGTTGTCTTTGATTGCAAAAAAAATTAAATTTAAATTTAAAATACCCGATTCAAATTAATTACCTTTGATTAGTTGGAATTCTTCTAAAAGAGTCAAAAATGTTAGATAAAAGATAATAAATAAATCAAAAAAAGAAAAAAGAAAAAATACAATAAAATAAAATAAGATAATATAAAAAACTAAATAAAAAGGAAGGCAATAAAAATAAAAAATTCGGACGCAATCGTGTTGAAGTTGATGATGTAAAACTACACATTTAACATCTTTAGGAAACTGTTAACAGATTAAACAAGAATTTAGCATGGTAGCCAAGTATAAAATATACGTACTTTCCAGGGATGAAAAACGAGTGTAGAAAACTTCATATTTCAATTCACCGTTTGCAATGTCAGAAGCCCGCCATAAACTCGATCGAAGCATGTTGCTCCACCTCATCATCGGCAACACCAGATGATTGGCGCAGATCTTGGAGTCTTTGCGGATGACCTTGCTCGGGTACTTCTTTATCCATGCAACCCAAACAGTGGCCGTAATGGCGGTCACGTGTGCCATCGTCAAAGGATTTCACGACCATGGCTTTGCGCTCGGCTTATCGACCTTGGAGGACGATGACTGCTTTGTTGGGTTTAAGAAACTTAACCATGGAGAATACGGGTGCAACGGCTCTGAATCGATGGATTCTAATGCATCAGATGCCCGGTTGAGTGAGAATGGAGGCCATTGGAACCATTTCGTTATGGGTGTGTTCTGTTCTCCTCCAAATCGCCCCCTCCATTTTCGTTTGTGCAGCCTCATTTAATCTTCCTTTTAGTATGTAAGCACCTTTTCCCTTCCCAGCATTTGCCATGTTTCCATAACACTATTTGATGAGCTAGAACCAAGTGCATATCTTCATCAACTTCGTGTGAATCATGTCCACTACGAGGCACGATACCAAGCAAATAAGACGGTTCCTGCTTCACCGTATACACGAAAGATTTCTCGACAGCCACCAAAAAAAGCATCGGAGTAAACCATGGTTGGGAAAGTTCGATCACCGATGCTTCAAGTCCACGCATCCCACGCAATGAACTGCTGGTTCTTCCATTAACAGGGTTGACGCTACTTCCGTTGGTGTTGTTGGAGCAGTGGGGTTATAAAAGTGTGACAATGGTGAAGAGAGAAAATGAAGAGGGGCGAAGTTGATCCAAGCAAGAATCTCAGATCTTCCCATGAAGTAGGCCCCATCCATAATTGGATTGCCTTGAACCCCCCCTATTTGCATTTTTACAACTAGTTTATATAACAAGCCTAGCATGTCGAGAATCATGGAGAAAGATGATAACAACCTCAACTGCCCTCTTTTTTTATGGTGTCGTGATCCTTATCCAGTAAGTGGCAACCTAAAATCCACTTTTTAAGGACCCACAAAGCCATTTCTCTCAAAGTCACCGGATTTCATGGGATTCCAAGTAGATAACTAACCCAATATATATATAAAATAATAATAGTAATTAATAATAAGAATTAATTATTATAATATTATATATATATATTTTTTTTTAAACGCGGTCAAAAACGGGTGTCTACAGCTGCCCCTCTTTGCACATTCTTGTGTTAACAAGAATAGGGCAAAGACGAAAAAGACAACCAGTTTTTGTCCAGTCTTCTCAAATGTGATTGAGCTTCCTGGAATTGGGCCTCTGTTTTCTTCTCGGTTTAAAGATTTCGGCTTGAAAATTCTTCTAGAAAGTAGTTCACCACTGTCATCGAGCTGAATGAAATCGAACTCGTCAGGTCTTTGGTTGGCAGATAGCCCTTCTCGACTTAAGCTATGCTGCAAATGATGTGCCTCGGAGCTGAGAGTAGTCGAACTCGAAGGTCTTTGGTTAGCAAATAGCCCTTCTTGCCTTGAGCTATGTTGCAAATGATGTGCCTTGGAGTTGAGCGTAGTCGAACTCAAAGGTCTTTGTGTTTCAAGAGAAACATTTTCAAAGGTTTTTTTGTGTTTCAAGAGGAACGATTTCAAAGGTTTTTTGTGTTTCAAGAGAAACGATTTCAAAGATTTTTTGTGTTTAAAGAGAAACTGTCTCCATGAATGCAAAATTTTGTTTCAAGAGAAACATATTGGTTGGTGTTTCAAGGGAAACTGTCTCGAGAGAGACAAAATTTGTTTCAAGAGAAACCGTCTCAAGAGAGACAAAATTTGTTTCAAGAGAAATTGTCTCAAGAGAGACAAAATCTTTAGTTTCGAGGGAAACCATCTAAAGTGACACAAAATCTTCTGTTTCAAGGGAAATAATCTCAAAGGTGACCGATAATCCACTTGTTTCTGCATGTTAAAGAAATCCTCTCAGAAGCTCTAATCGTTGACTTAAGGAAGTCAAATCTGTGGATGGCATGATTGCTTGTGGGCACGATTCCCTTCGTCGTGAAGTTGAAACAGTGGGTGACCCCTTCGCCATGAAGTTAAGCCAGGAATTGGATATCATTCGTCGTGAAGTTGAAATTAACTCTGAAACTAGAAAGTTTGTTGACAGATGCTCCTTCTTTGAGTTGGATATCCTTCGTCGTGAAGTTGAAATCCAATCTAAAGATGGATTCTGCTCGTGTGTACGATTCCCTTCGTTGTGGAGTTGAAATTGGTTCTGGAACTGGAAAATTGTTTGTTGACAACCAGCCGTCCCTTCGTTTGTGAAGTTGAACTTGCGTTGTCTTGAGTCCAATATCATTCGCTGTGAAGTTGAAATTGGCTCTTGAAATTGGGAAATTGTTTATTGACAACCAGCGGTCCCTTCGTCGTGAAGTTGAACTTGCGTTGTCTGGAGTCCAATATCCTTCGTTGTGAAGTTGAAATTGGCTCTGAAATTGAGAAGTTGTTTGTTGACAACCAGCGGTCCCTTCGTCGTGAAGTTGAACTTGCGTTGTCTTGAGTCCAATGTCCTTCGCTGTGAAGTTGAAATTGACTCTGAAATTGGAAAATTGTTTATTGACAACCAGCGGTCCCTTCGTCGTGAAGTTGAACTTGCGTTGTCTGGAGTCCAATATCCTTCGTTGTGAAGTTGAAATTGGCTCTTGAAATTGGGAAATTGTTTATTGACAACCAGCGGTCCCTTCGTCGTGAAGTTGAACTTGCGTTGTCTGGAGTCCAATATCCTTTGTTGTGAAGTTGAAATTGGCTCTGAAATTGAGAAGTTATTTGTTGATAAACAGCGGTCCCTTCGTCGTGAAGTTGAACTTGCGTTGTCTTGAGTCCAATATCCTTCGCTGTG